AAGAAACTTTAACTTAGAGACTTTGAATCTTGCGATGAGAAAATCATGTTTTTGAAGTTCTTGATCTTTTGGAGAAGGAGAATAAAGGATTTTGAGAGCTGTTATACGCATAATATTAAAGAAGGCATTACATAAGGTCATTGTGTTAGTATCATTGTGTAAATAATTATAATTAAGAGGATTATACATCAAGAAAGTTGTTAGAGTAGTTAGAAGTTAGTTAGAGTAGTTAGAATAAATTCAGTTTTTCATTCTTGTAAATATAGATACTTGTATGTACAGATTACATATGAAAGGGAGAATACAATTGAATAACTATTTTCTTCCTCCGTTCTTCTTCTTCTTCTCTGTTTCTTCTTCTTCTTCTCTGCATTACTTCACGTTTTATGCATGATTGATATGTATATGCTACAAGAAAACTAACATGGTATCAGAGCCAGCAGAGTAGAGCTTCAAGATCTCAGTCAAAACCATGGCAACTATCGATAATGAGTTGCCTGAGAAGCTGAGCTGTAATCATCCTTTGTTGTTACATTCAATTGATAACTCAGGTGTATTACTTAGTTCAATTCAACTAACTGGAGCTGATAATTTTTCAATATGGAGTCAAGCTATGAAAATTGCAATTATAGGTCGCAATAAACTTGGATTCATTGATGCAAAATGGAGTTATATGGTCCTAACTTGACAAATCTATGGGAACGATGCAATGCCATAGTGCTTTCGTGGATTATGAATTGTGTTTCGGAGGAGTTACTTGGAGGCATTGTTTATTCCACCACTGCAGCTGCTGTGTGGAAGGATTTGTGTGAAAGATATGACAAGATTTATGGATCTTGTATCTTTCAACTACACAAAGAGATTGCTACTATCAGTCAAGGTACAAGTTCAATCTCAAGCTATTTTTCTAAGCTGCATGAGTTGTGGGTAGAGTATGATAGATTGGCACCTGTTCCTTGTTGTGAATGTGTGAATTCAAGAGAGTTTGTAGTGTTCATGCACAATCAGAAGTTACTGCAGTTTCTCATGGGATTAAATGATTTATATGAGCAAATTAGAAGCCAAATACTAATGATGGTACCATTGCCTACTCTAAATAAGGCATACTCACTACTTGTTGAAAGAGAAAGCCAACGTATCATGTCACAAACTTCTCACAGTTCAAGTTCATATGATCTGAATGCCTTGTTTACTGCTCAATCATCAGTTCCCAAACCAAGGTTTCATACTAATTAAAGCTATGATCCAAATGCATTTTGTGACTACTGTAAAAGAACAGGACACATGCAGGCTGTGTGTTTAAACTTCATGGGTATCCACCTGGTTATGAAAGGAAGAAGAGAGGTTCTACTGGTCCTACTTACAATGGTCAAGGGAGAGGAAGATCAAGTAATGATAGGAGGTCTTATCCATCTGCTAATAATGCAATTAGTGACACTGACCATTCTGATTTTAATAGAGTTGAGAATCAAAGAAATCAAGGTTATGGCAGAGGTGATAGACAATCTGATCCTGTTGATTATCACAAAGGATTGAATGTACTGCAGGAACAATATAATCAAATCTTGCAGATGCTTGGTCAATCCAATAGGCAGAGCACCACTGAAAGAGATTCAAATCCACATTCCAGTGCAAATCTAGCTCAAGAAAACTATCCTTCATCAGGTAATGTCACTGCTCTTTCAGGTAGTATAGCACATACAGGATGGATTATAGACTCTGGTGCAAAAAATCCTATGACTCCTCACTCAAAATTATTGAATAATAAACATCTATTGCCTATTGATGCACCTACAAGTATACAACTACCAAATGGAGATTGTACATTGATTACACATACAGGCTCTAGTAATATGACCTCACAAGACATTATCAATAATGTTCTTCTTATTCCTGATTTTAAGTTCAGTCTATTGTCAGTCTCAAAAATTACTAAGGATCTACAGTGTGCAGTGTGTTGCTATCCTGACTTTGTGACTATTCAGGATCTCTCCAGTGGGCAGGTGAAGGTGATTGGTAGAGAACAGGCTGGACTTTATCTCATTCCTCATCCCTCATCTTCTACAGATAGTACTACCTCTCAAGCATACTCTCATTTATTTCATGATGGTTCATCAAGTTCACAAACTGTACTATGGCACCAAAGACTTGGTCATACTTCATCTAATGTTCTATCTAGAATTCTCAATCTTCCAGTTACACAGTGTTTAAATGAAGTTCACAAATATACAATATGTCCTCTAGCTAAACAACCAAGACTTCCTTTTTCAAATAGCTCTACAATATTTTCTAGTCCATTTCAATTGATACATATAGATGTTTGGGGTCCATTTCAATTGATACACTATAGTGGATGATTGTACTAGAATGTTGTGGCTGATTCTGATAAAGTTGAAGAGTGATGTTTGTGTTGTATTGAAAAATTTCTTTACTCTAGTCAAAACTCAGTTCAACTTGTTAGTTAAAACCATTCGTACTAATAATGGTTCTGAGTTTATTAACACTGAGTGTACACATTTGTATACAAGCATGGGTATTATTCATCAAAGAACCTGCATTCACACTCCTCAACAGAATGGAATAGCTGAAAGAAAACACAGACATATACTTGAGGTATCCAGAGCCATAAGATTCCAAGGTCATATTCCTATCAGATTTTGGGGGCACTGCATTCTTAATGCTGCCTATATTATAAACAGGCTGGTTACATCTGTTTTGCATGGTACATATCCATATGAAATGTTTCACAAATGCAAACCTTCCCTACAGCATATGAGGGTGATAGGTTGTCTATGTTTTGCTAAAAATATGCATATTAAGGATAAATTTCATCCTAGGAGTGTCATTGTTGTACACATGGGCTATAGTGCTCATACAAAGGGATATCTGTTATACAACATTAAGGACAAAACATTCTTCATTAGCAGAGATGTACTATTTAGAGAAGTTGTATTTCCATTTACTTCTCCTTCCTCTACTGCATGGCAAGTGTATCCTGATGTTGATGACCCTTCAGAGTTTACATCTTTGTTTCAGACTAATCCTCCTACCACAGTTGTACATACTGAGATAGTTCCAGCTCAAGATACTTCTTCTATAAGAAGATCACAAAGAAGTACCAAAGCTCCTTTATGGCTACAAGATTATGTTGCATCTGCTCAGCTTCAATCAAATAAGCCTCTGTATTCTATTGACAAGTACATTGGCTATGACAGCTTGTCTTCTTCTTATCGAGCCTTTCTTTCTTCCTTTGGTACTGAAGTTGAACCTACCTCTTTTGAGGAAGCTTGTAAGGATCCTAGGTGGGTTGAGGCCATGCAAGCTGAAATATCAGCTTTGGAGTCTAATCAAACATGGCAGGTGGTTCCTTTACCTCTTCACAAGAAGGCTATTGGTTGCAAGTGGATTTTTAAAATCAAGTATCATGCCTCTGGTGAGATTGACAGGTTTAAGGCACGTCTTGTGGCAAAAGGATTTAATCAGAGAGAAGGTCTGGATAATTAGGTAACCTTTTCTCCAGTTGTGAAAATGGTGACTGTTAGGAGTGTTCTGTCCTTAGCTGCAAAAGAACATTGGCATGTTCATCAGATGGATGTGTCTAATGCATTTCTTCAGGGTGATTTACTTGATGAAGTTTATATGGTTCTTCCTTTTGGCTTTAAGCCTCCAAAGGGTTTTAGTGTGCAGGGGGAGAAACCAGTGTGCAGGCTCACTAAATCCCTTTATGGATTAAAACAAGCACCTAGGCAATGGAATGTAAAACTCACTGAAGTTCTTGTCAAATTGGGATTTGTACAAAGTCATCTTGATTACTCATTATTCATCAAGAAAACTAGTGCATCTCTGGTAATACTTTTAGTATATGTAGATGATTTGATTATCACTGGAAATGATGTCAATCTTATTCAACAGACTAAAAGCACCTTACAAGAAAATTTCAAAATGAAAGATCTAGGGAACCTCAGGTATTTCCTTGTGATTGAGTTTGCTAGATCACAAGATGGAATTGTAATGCATCAGAGGAAATATACATTGGAGATCATATCTGAGGCAGGTCTTAGTGCTGCAAACCCAGCTGCTACTCCACTGGATCCTTATGTGCAATTAACAACTAGAGAATATGATGAACTAAATGGAACAAACAAAGATGATAAATTGTTGACAGAGCCAACGGTGTACAGAAGGTTAGTTGGAAAATTACTATATCTAAATGTCACTAGACCAGACATTTCATTTGCTACATAGACTCTATGTCAATTTCTACATCAGCCTAAGCAATCTCATCTAAATGTTGCTCTCAAAGTAGTAAGATATATCAAAAGTCAAGCTGGACTGGGTGTTCTATTATCCAGTAAAAATAGCACAGAATTGCAAGTTTATTATGACTCAGACTGGGGTAGTTGCTTACATACAAGGAGGTCAGTTACAGGCTTCATGGTGAAGTTGGGAGGCTCACTAATATCATGGAAGTCTAAGAAGCAAGCAACCATTTCTAGAAGCTCAACTGAAGCTGAGTACAGAAGTATGGCAAGTGCAGTGGCTGAAGTTGTGTGGTTAGTGAAACTATTCAAAGAGCTTGGAGTTGAAGTACATACTCTAGTAACTATATACAGTGACAGTAAGCCAGCTATTCAAATAGCTGCTAATCCTGTGCTACATGAAAGAACAAAGCACATAGAGTTGAATTGTCATTTTATAAGAGAGAAGATTCAGAATGGTCTAGTGCAAACGCAATACTTGAGTACCAAAGAACAAGAAGCAGACATGTTAACTAAAGGCTTGGGAAAAACTCAACATGAGTATCTACTATCCAAGTTTGGTGTATTAAACCTATTCATACCTACAAACTTGAGGGGGAGTATTAAAGAAGGCATTACATAAGGTCATTGTGTTAGTATCATTGTGTAAATAATTATAATTAAGAAGACTATACATCAAGAAAGTTGTTAGAGTAGTTAGAAGTTAGTTAGAGTAGTTAGAATAAATTCAGTTTTTCATTCTTGTATATAGAGATACTTGTATGTACAGATTACATATGAAAGGGAGAATACAATTGAATAACTATTTTCTTCCTCCATTCTTCTTCTTCTTATCTGTTTCTTCTTCTTCTTCTCTGGATTACTTCACGTTTTATGCATGATTGATATGCATCTGCTACAAGAAAACTAACACATAAGGATATTATTAGGTTAGAAGATGGACTTTAGAAAGTTAATTGAGGGTAAAATTGTGAGAATACCCCTCGAAGAATGTATGAAGACTAGGAAGATCGAAGGAAATAACTTTTCAATGAATCTTGTTTGACAAATCTGCGATTTAGAGGCACCATAGCCAAAATATTTAGTGGATCGCCAAAGTGGGGCTTTGGACGCCAAAATTAATAGTTTCTGAAGGTTTTCAGGCCATTTTGGTGATAAATCTTTTTGAGCTATTAATTGGCTAAATTTATTTGACAATACTGATAATATTTTTGTTCCAAAAACATACCAACAAGATCAATTTTGAGCCATAAACGTAACAGAGGATAAAGTTGACATAATTCGGTTATAGTCAGATGCATTTTTAGCCCTTTTACATGTCGTCTAAAAGGAATATGCTTAAAACAATTACCTAGATAAATATTGAGGAAAAATTAGCCCTAGCAACAACATTAATCTTTAACCATCAAATCAATCCCAATATTACTTATTATATGATAGAAAATAATAGTAGGAATGAGCATAGTCCCCAATGTACATCGATTGGTAGATGAAACAAAATGGAGAAAGAAAATACATGTGGGAATAAAAAATAATTATCAAAGTTGTTTAAGGACAAAAGGGTCTACCCAAACGTGCCTTATGGCTAGGAATATTGAAATGCCTAATCCTCCCTTCTTGTTGTAGCAAATAACCTTCACAAAGAAAAGCCTTTGAAAATTGATCTTCCACAACTCTATCAACATCATGAACAAACACATGAGTTTCTCCCTCTTGTTTGTTCCTAGCAATCAATCCTGCAGTGTATATTGCACTCATTCTTCCTGGTGCTCCATCATGCCAACCAGTTGGTGCATCTACCATTATTAAATCCCAATCAATCTCCAACACTTGTTGAGGCAATCCCTTTAGAGCAAGCTGACATTTTGATAATCTTGGATCTGTTACTTTCTTACAATCTTCATTACTCATTCCAATTTCCATGAGTTCATCAGCTTGAGTTATTCTTGTGTCATATATAACATGGTAAGATTCCAAATTTGGTAATTGACTCTGTATTTGCTCTATCCATGACTTGTCTTCTTCAAGAAAAACTGTTCTTCCACCATGATTTAGAGCTGTCCACATTAAACTATCATGTCCTAATCCAAACACCAAGAAATTGGAAGGAGATTTCTTTTCAAGAACTTTTAACGAAACTGAGATTTCTTTAAGTGTTTGTTGTGGTGTCACATTTGAAGTTGCATAGTGGACTAAAGCATTTGCTAGTGATGGGGATATCTTGTTGCAAGTGTTTGATGGACAAGCTTCTGAAGACTGATGATCAGTTTCTTCATCTTGTGATGATGATGATGACTTTGAAACAAGAGATTTAGTTTGTTGATCAGGAGAAGGTGAATAAGTTGATCTAAGTACCAAAAACAAAAGAAAAACTAGAATAATACCAATGAGAATGAGCTTAACATTGATGGGGCTTTGGTTTTTTGATCTCATCTTTTCCTTCTTTGCTATAAAACTTATAATTTGGAAAATAGAAAATAATGGGTTTGGAGGATTTCCAAGTTTTTTTTTGGCAAATGCGCTATATGAAATATTTAAGAATGGACATGTACTTATATTATTATTAAAAGAAAAATGCCAAATCACTACTTCTATTTTTTATTTGCCTTATATATATTCAGTTTCAAACAAATTATTTTTAAATTAAAGGAGGAGGTTCTGTATACATGGTTTTTTAAAAAAAGAAAAAAAAAATTACAGTGGCAATAATTCTGCATGGACTAGGGTTTTCGTTTTTCCTCGAAAATACAAGTATGAATGTTACTTCCGTTTTTTTCCGTATACTCGACAAAGAGTTTAAGAAAGAAAAAAATAAAAAAATTTAAATTTATAATCTAAAATAAAAAAATATAAATATACATATCATAAATGATAAAAAAATAATATTTTATATATCATTTTCTGAAACGTACTTAAAAAGGAAAAAAAATCGTATAAGTTGAGAAGTAGTACTATCGTTTTGCCTTGAAATTGAAGAGAGGGTTGATAAAGACAGGAAAGCTAATGATGTTACTGATCGTGCAAGACATAATTATCATAGTTTGGTAGAGATGGGCTTGTTGGTGTACTAAAATAATAGAGTAATAATACTGTTGCTTAGCAAGGATTTTCGTTTTTTTCTTTTAATTTGAAGTAGTTGGCATATTAGGTGATACTTTGATTAGATACATGTTATACATTGACTTTAAACTAAAAATAAATATGTTAGTCATGTGGTTAGTACAATTAATATAATTTGCAAGTATAGCTCTTACTTTAGATGCATAGAAACGGAAAGAGATGAGAGGAAGTAGATTTTGCGATTTATGATGTAATAATGATAGAGCCAGACATTTTATAAAGAATATCAAAATTTTAAAACGTAACGAATGAATAATGTTATTTTTCACTCTTGTTATAAACGAATTTGTTTGAGTGGTTAGGATATAACATCAGAATAGAGACAAAGGGCACACCACATTGTCTGGTTGTAACAAGCACAAAGTATGGACCTGTGTAATAGTTAAAAGCATTCACAAATTTGGTATGTTATTGTCAACTTGATTTACCCTTGTGTTAACCTCTCTCATCTCCACCGCCTACCAAACCAATCACAAATCACGTTACATTGTTCCAGAACCTTAAATGGGGTTAACACGTGGCTACATATTCTAATTTCTCTTATTATATATAAATATATATTATTTATATTTTTCTGAGAGTAAAACTCTGCAACGGCATTGTCGGAAAAAAACTATAATTTTGTTTTATTTTAATTTACTTTATGTACAATTTTTTAAATTATGAGATTTGTTTTATCTATCATATTTAATTTTAAATCAATATTTTTTAGTTATAGCGTTATTATATATATATATATATATATATATGAGATTTATTTTGAGGGAAAAAAAAAATCAACTTACAAACCTCTTGACCTTAGATTTGCACCCAAGAAAAGAAAGATAAGAGTTACTATCACACAAATATAGTAGTATAATTTATTTTATGGAAAATAATTAAATATTGCTCAACTTCAGAAAAAATATTTTCCGTTCATTTTTTATTTGAAATATATTTTTATTCTGCTTTTTTATTTAAATATATCCTTTTATTTTTATTTTTGATTCATTTATACCCCTCAAAATCAATTAACCTTTACTTTTGTGACTTCCTTTTTAAAATATTTATTACGTTATTTTTTTATTGAATAAAATAATAATCTACCTTTACTAAATTTTTTTCATAATTTATTTAATACCTCTGCAAGACACCAAAAATTGTTTTAAAGAAAATCTAATAATTTTTGTATTTGTTGTAGCTTTTCTCAATATGATTTCTTTTAGATAATTAATATTTTTATTTTATTTTTTCTATTATACAGAAGAGTGAAGTGGTAGTATGATCAAGGGTAAAAATATAATTTCATTAACAAAAATGTACTAAGAAAGATAATAAATAATTCTAGAAATATCTTTCTATATATGAAGTGAATAATGATCAAGGGCAAATATATAATTTTACGCTAACAAAAATATATCAAGAATGGTAACAAGAAAATCAAATAATTCTAGAAACATATTTAATTATTATTATTACTATTAATTTATTTTGTTATACTTCACTTTTTTTTATGAGTCATTGTAATATCTATTAATTACTCTATTTTAGTGTTACTTTAATTTAACTCTTAATATTGTTTTGATTCATCATACTTATAAAATATACCTACTTCAATATAAAAATACATTATGAATTAATTAAATTCACCTTTATTTTGACTTTAATTAATATATACTTGAAAATAAATAAGTGTGATAAAATTAATAATATATATTATATTGGATTTCTATTATATAGAAGTGTGAAGTGATAGGACGATCAACGGTAAAAACGCAATTTCATTCTAACAAAAATGTATTAAGAAAGATAGTAAATAATTCAAGAAACATCTTTCATATATATGAAGTGAATAATGATCGGATAAAAAAATAATTTCACGCTAACAAAAATCTACCAAGAATGATAACAAGAAAATCAAATAGTTCTAGAAACATCTTTCGTTATTGTTATTACTATTAATTTACTTTGTTATTACTTCACTTTTTTTTGTGAGTCATTGTAATATCTATTCACTACTCTATTTTAGTATTACTTCAATTTAACTCTTAATATATTTTCTATTCATTATGCTTATCGGAAATGTCTACTTTAATATAAAAATGCATTATGAATTAATTATTTTCACCTTTATTTTGACTCTAATTAATATATTTGAAAATAAATAAGCATGATAAAATTAATAATATATACTCAATTGAAATAAAGAAAAAGATGTTAAAAGTTATTTTTCAAATAAAATGAATAGTATGATATATTTGTATTTATGACGGCTGCGAATAAAAATATATTTCATTCTAACAAAAATCTGTTAAGAAAAATAGCAAGAACAATGAATTGTTCTAGAAACAACTTTCTATAAATGAAGCGAATGATGATCAAAGGTAAAAATATAACTTCACGCGAACAAAAATCTATCAAGAATGATAACAAGAAAACTAAATAGTTCTAGAAATATTTTTCGTTATTTTGATTACCATTAACTCGTTTTGTTATTACTTCATTTTTTTTATGACTTATTGTGATATTTACTCATTACTCTATTTTACTATTACTTTAATTTAATTATTGATATTTTTTCTATTTATTATACTTACTACAAATGCAAGCTTTAATATAAAAATTCATTATTTAAAAAATATGGTTAATCACATTTAATTTTATTTTTGCTCTAATTAATATACCTAAAAAGAAATAAGTAAATGTAATAAACTAATAATATATATTAGACTGAAATTAAATAATAAATAAAATTAGTTGTAATATTGAAAAATTAATATTTTAAAAAATGTCAAAAAGTAACTTACAAATAAAATAAATAGGATAGTATATTTGTATTTAAAATAAACTAATTTTTTTTACTAAATTATAAATGAGTAGTTCTTCTTTAAAATATGTAATCAAATTTTTACTTTTACTTGATTTCGTAAATATTAACCTGAAGAGTGAACTAACATAAGTTTGATTTAGATTTAAAGTTGACGGATTAAAATTTAAGATTTTTCTATTATATAAAAATATGAAGTTGAGGAAAATCAAGAAATATGTGGTCATTTCATATATATTTCATTTTAAAATTCTATATATTCTATTTTTAATTTTGTCAAAGTATTTTTTCAAGTGGCTAAATTTTCTGCATAAGTTACATGATTATTCTAGAAACTATAACTTATAAGATTTTCTAGAACTGATTCTATAACTCAAGTAAATAGACACTACTAACACATTCTTCATTTCATTATTCACTCCTCAATTCTCTTCCCTCTCATGTCATATACCAATAAAATTTTCACCCTTTTCTTGTAATTTCCATCCTAAGTAATATATGTTTCGGTATAGATTTCTTATTAGAAAAATCAATAATGCAGTTTTCTTTTCAACATTAAGAACGTCATTTTTAATTAATTCCCTAAATGATGGTCCTACTTTTGTAAAACAATTATTAGACAAAAGTAAAATTCACTATTTCTTATTGTGAACGCCTCATTTTTTAGACCTGTACCTATAACAAATTTCAAACAAAATTCAATTGATCCACATCTTTCAAACATTCTTATGAACATGATACTGGACCAGTTAACATATTAAATCAAATATCAATCACAATTGCAATTCTCAAAATGTCTAATTCATAAGGAATGCATCAAGTGAGCAAGCTTTTCGAGAATAAAATTTTCAAAAAATTCAGAGCTTGTTATGGTCTTTGCTTTTGTTCTATTTAGATTTTTAAATTTCATGGCGCTACTTTTGTTTTTGCATTGTAAAATTAATTTTAAAAGTATCTAATTTATTTAATTTCTCTTTTTATGTATAATTCCAAAACATATATGTCATTATCTAATTAATTGAGAAACATTGTAACGACCTGTTTAGTCGTTTTGAGCAACAGATGTACTTTCTGGAAAACGGGCTGAGACGACGGATCCAACGACGGACCGTCATGGGCACGACGGACCGTCGAGGGGGTCTCGTTTCAAAACACTTAGAAATTCTGAAATTTGGGTACTGAAATCGACTCTCTGAACTTCGTAACGGAATGACAGGACGGACCGTCGTGGGTACGACGGACTATCAAAGACTCTTCAAGGAAATTGAGTCTCTGAACTCTGTAACGGAACAGCAGGACGGACCGTCGCAGGCACGACGGGCCGTCACAGACTGCGTAATCCCAGGCTGGGTCGGATTTCTTTAAATGTTTTAAGGGACGTTTTTGACTATTCCTGCTTTAATTATAAAGTTAGTGGGTTAATGTTAATAAGTCTAATTACTTGGGGGTTAAAAGAGGTGACCTTAAGTTAATTAGTGGGTTATTATTGCCATCTTTTATTCTTAATTATATGCTAATTAGGGTAAAAGAAAGAGGGTTTTGAATAAGAAAAATAGAAAGAGCAAAGAGAGAGAGAGAGAGAGAGAGAGGATCGAACGAGAAGAGGAAAACACAAAGCT